CCGAGCTGGCCAGAACCGGGCGGCCTCGCGGCACTCCGCTGCCTAGACTAGGCGACAGAGCCCGGTCTCCAGGGATGCCCTGGCTGGCGCTTACGGCTTCCCACTGCGCCAAGAGAGGGGACTGCGGCTCCCCAGTGCCCTCCATTCGTCGTCACTGAACAGGGCCAAGTTTCCTTGCGATGGATGTGGGCAATTAATAAACTCTAAGGAAAGTGAATTGGACATTTCCGGGCTTTTGAGCCTTTGTTTAATTGTTTCGGCAGGTGAGGGGAAGGGGTATGTATGCCGGGGGCAGTGAGGTGGACAAGAAAGGAGTTGGGGGACCCACAGAGCTGCCTTTTATTGCTCTTGCAGTTGCTTTCCGGATCGCGCGTCCCGCGTGGTATCCGCACGGGCGACCTCGCAGAGGGGCTGGATGCCCGGCGGGTGTGGAGTGCCTTGTGCCATTTGGGCTGCGACAGAAGTAGGTTCAAGGGCGGAAAGGGTACCCCCAGTTACCTGAGAGATCAAAGGACTTATGCAGCCCAGCCCGAGGGTGCCAGTGGGCGCTCAACTGGGAGGAGGAGGGTTATTAGCAAACAATGGAAGAGGGGTGTGGAGCCCTTTTTAAAGCCAGAGCGAGGTGAGCCAAGGGGCCCACAAACCTGCGTTTCAGTTGAGTTTGTCGTGGCCTGAAGTGATGAGGACATTGGGTTCAAGGACTTTTCCCAAATTAAGCTCACTAGGCGACTAGGCAGCTTGCACTCTGCACTCGGCAGGGACCAGTTTCCACCAGCGAGCCCTTCCACTTGCGATCTGACTCTGTGGAATCTAAGACCAGGCCCTGAGGCCTTGGGTGTCCGATCGCCATCCAGCTTTCAGGTCTCAGAGCTTCTTGGTGATTTGCCTCTGCTTCCCAAGCTTCTGAACTCGAGCTGAATCCTCAGACTCTAAGGATACCTGTGAGCTAAGAGTAACCAAAAGTTTGCTAAAGTTTTTGATCCCTGTCCCATGTACATGGATTTCCTGAGAATTAGAAACAAAACCAAACAAAAAACCCAGAAGTTTGGTCCGTTGCACAATGGATAGTGCATTGGACTTCTAAAAAACCCAGAAGTTTGGGGTTATGTGGCTGTGACTGAAACCTTCCAGTTGATTTGTTTTGGATAGTCAAGAACTGGACTCATCCCATTTCCACCTGATCTTAGTGCTTAAAAGCCCTTGAAAAATTATGGCTCTCTTCACTTCCCCCCTACTAAAAAACTAAGTTGAGTAAAATTGACCTGTCATCATATATTCTCATTTGGTTATCAATCATTTTTATCCTCAGAGATGGGGGTTGTAGGAGGATGGCCTTTGACCCACATTTGACCATTAGGATTGGGAGTTTCTTGGGAAATGCCTAATTGTTGTGTTTTAAAATATGCTTCAAAGGTCCAAACAGGAACCACAAATTCCCTTATGTGCTCACAGCTTGTGCAACCACCCACTACTCCTTTATATTGGCTCCAAGATGTGCTCCTCCTCCTGTTCATTCTTTATCTTTTAGGATGTTTTTGGATGGGGGATAAAGGAGGAGCAGAGGTTGTGCTTTTCTTTTTAATCTCAAATTTTGTGGGTAGTTCCCCCCCCCCACTCCATACCCCTTCCAACATCTATACTTCAATATTTGCAGAAGCTGTTGAGATAAATCAAATAGTGACACGTTGATGGATTTACTTGTGTAAGCAATATGGTTGACATATGGCATTGTTATTTATGAATGACAGCATAAATTGTATTACAAAGTCTATTGCAATAATACTGCAGTTTATTGGAAAGCTGCTTGCCTGTCACCGGTATTCACCCTCCTGAATGTAGTTCGCCTGAGAGCCAGAAGGATAACTGCCCTCAAAATAATTAAACACTTTGATGTAAGTTAATGCCTCCTGTTTGGGGGAGTTTTTGTTTTTGCTTTGTTTTACAGGAGTAGAAACTCACCTGTCAGGAAAGGAGACAAAATAAGGACAATGACTCCTCTTCCTTTTGCAAAAACATAACCACTCACTGTCACCTAGAAATGTTGGCTTCTATTTTTTTTCTAAGTCCCTAATGACAAATACACAAACATTTGCATCGCTGTCACTATACTGATGGTGAACATATATTTTATACAGAGACTTTTTATAAGCCCAGTTACAGAACAGTAAATTTTAACTGTAGGAAGAAGAGAAGTTCTTTTAGGAGACTAGAGAGGGCCTTATTCTATATACTCCCCACCTCCACTAAATCTTCCCCTTCTTGAAAGTGGTATTTAAAAGTTACAACATTGGATGAGATTTTCATGATTTCCCCTTCTTTTACATTACAGATTCCCCCTTCTTTTACATTACACTTCTCTAAACCTCTGACAAAGAACTTTTGTTCTAGGTGGGTTTTAGGGGGGGGCTTCCCCACCACATATGTGGTCCTTCATGGGTCAGGGGTCGCCCAGCCCAGGAGTGGCTGAGAGGGCTGAATCAAAGGTGACCTGCAACTTAATATCCTGTTGATGATCTTGTTGAATTTATGAGTCTGTGATTCAGAGGATAGAGCTGAAATCCTGTGAAATCCCTTTTTTTTTGTTCAGTGTATATAAACAGCTGATTCCACATTTTTTCCTCCCATCTCTTCCTCCATTTCCATCCCTTTTCTTAAGAGGAAAATTAAAGGTTTGAGTGGTATGATCAAGTGCTTCTGTTTTCCAATTTAAAGATCACTTTTGTTTGCTTGTTTGGTTTTGACTTCTCCTGGCCAAAAAGATATACCTCTGTGTGTAGGTGAGAATATGTTGTTGTGCATTTGCATTGTTTATACATATATGTACAAAAAATGATCATCATACGACAAAAGAAGTCGGTCAACCGTTCACAGAGGCCCACAGACCACAACAAGGTGTTCAGTGAATGTGCGTGAGTGTTTGAAGGGATTTTTCTAGGTGGGTTTCTTTTCTTTTCTTTTCTTTTTTCTTTTAAGACAACTAGAATTCGCTATGGCACTGCCATTCCTTCCACTTGCCAGGAAAGGGACGCTAGCCCTGGCACCCAGGGGCCCGCCACGCAGGGCCCTCATCCACATACAGCAAAGCCTGGAGTCTCGCTGGCCTGGCCGGGCGCAGGCTCCGTGTGATCTTCAAAGAACAATTTTGGGGAAATTACAAAGAGGGAAACCTGTTTGCCCGATGGAGACAGTTGTGCGTCCCGAGGGTCTGATACGGCTTTGGCGGGCCCTTCTAGAAACCTGTTGAAAAACTGAATTCACTCATAGGGTGCGGAAAGCAGCTTGGCTGCTTTTTTTTCCTTCGGCCAAGGAGCGCAAATGTACTTTTGAGGCAACGATTCTGATTTTGAAGGCCTTTGCAGGGTTTTTTCTCCCTCTTGCTTTCTTGCTCTTTCTTTCTCTTCCCTTTCCTTCCTTCCTTTTTTTTCTTTTAAAGAAACAATAAAAACAACAACAAAAAAACTCTTGAGGCAAAGGAGTTTTGCGGTTTGTAGACAAATAAAGCACTTCTAAGAGGGGATGGCGACGTGACTTTGAACTTGGCTCAGCTCCTCTGTGTCCTGCAGGGAGAGGAGCACTGGAGTCGGGAAATAGCCAGGAGGGCCCAGCCCGCGGGGTCTCTGGGGGGAATTAGTCGTCCGTCCCACCAGCCAGCGGCGCGCGGCCTCCGGAGCCCAGCCCAGCCAGCGTCCAGCAGCGTCCGCCTGAAACGCAGGCGCTGCAAACGGGGAATCAAAGCGAAAGAAGAAGATGGGGAGAAGAGGAGAGGCGCAGAGGAGTGCGGTGGGGGCGACAAAGTGGGAAGGAAGGAAAACTGAAGTCTGATGACTTGAGAGAAGGAAGGGCAGTGAGGTTTGGGGATGGGCATAAGTGCTATTCTCACGACCAGTCTCCAAGAAAATAGTTTTTTGGAAATACTTTTGGAGTAAGCTTTTCCAATCACCCCCCCCATAAAGTGATGAAAAAACAAACCAGTGTAAAAGGTCGTGCACTGGACACTTTTTTTTTTTAATCGATTCCCTGTAGCAGGACAGCCTTTCTGCCAGGAATCCTTCTCTCTCTTTCAGGTCCCTCTCTGCTAAAGGGGGGGTGGGGGGCAGCTAGGCATTTGCATCTCCCCTCCCCCCTTACACAGAGAGGTGTGTGGAGAACATTTCCTCTCAGAGAAGGCGAGAATCCCGAGGTCCAGGCAAACTCTGGGCTTTCACACAACATGCCCCGTTCTCCCTCCCCAGTGCCCCCCGACTCTGGGCAGGGAAGGGGGAGACAACGGGAGGGCACAGGTCCCCTTATACAAGGGGCTGCGGCCAGCTCCGACCTTCAGGGACCCTCTTAAGCCGGAAGAGGCTGCCTGTGCCGGCGCGAAAGAGCCCAGTTCTTGCAGCGATCGCCAGCTACAGTTGTCTTCCCGCGTTTTTGTTGATTTAATTTCAGCATGAAATTTTGAAATGCATGTTGATTATTTTCTCTTACTTGAATTTTATTTCAACTCCCAGAGATTTGTAAAGAAAGAAAGAAAGAAAGGCAGTTCCCCACCCCAGCTAGGCAAAGAAAGGCGCTGGCCTCAGGCCTTCCATTCACACCTCCGCAGCCTTCGGGCCCGCCGTTCCCTATCCGTTACCTCCGGAACGCGAGCTTTCCGCGGCGGGGCAGGAAATGTCCGCGGCGGCTAACCTGGGCCTGGGGGGCGGCCGGAGCCCCAGGGCGGAGAGGTAGGCCCCGCGCGGCACAGGGAGCAGCCTCGCGGCCCCGCCACCACCTGGGGGGAGGCGGTCCCCGCTACCATAGAAGAGTGATAAATATCTTACGGAAGGTTTAAGCCCTACCAGTCTGGAGATTTCTTCTCCGGAGGCTCTGAGCCTGACCCTCCGCCAAACTCCAGCCTGAGTCTTGCTTGGCCGCGCGCCTCGGGCGTCTCCACACTTCCCACCCCACCGTGGCAGAGGCCCGGGCTTCTGGGCATCCACCCCGAGGGTGACACTGTCTTTAAACGACTTCCAAACAACCCCCTCCCTCGCGGAGGCCGCTGCCCAGTGTTTACTGCTGTAATCAGAGCAGGACGGGAGCGGTGGGGGGAGCGGAGCGCGCCGAGCTGCGGGTGGGGGCCACGGCCGGGGAGGGGCGATGTCTGGGTGAGTGTCCAGAGAG